GGCACCAGAATCACGTCGCTGGTCATCTGCACAACGAGGAAAGTGAGGGTGAACAAGAGCGTGCGAAAAAAATATGACCGGGCGCAAGGCAAGGAAAATTTACTTGGATTTGATGAGTCGCCCGCTGGAGTAGATTGGACAGGCGTGGGCTTTTGAGCAGCTGCTGACTGAGTAATCAGTCGGTTGGAGATAGACGTGAGAGCGCTGAGGGCCCAGTTGCCGAGCAAGCCGCTAGCTGCAGAAGTGCCGGATTTCAAAATTCCCACGGCTCCCGGTGTGCTGCCAGCAGTCTCTTCCTTCCCCACTACTGCCAAGTCCGGTTCACCGAAAGTCGGGTCTTCGCTGGCCTTTTTAAGGGTAGAGTAGTAGGAACGTATTTCATTAAGAACAAAATTGGTTTTTACAAAAGTAAACCGAAAGCGCTACTGTTTAATGTTCAGTAGCACACACATATTAAATATTACAGTCATTCAGCATAGTGATCGATAACGGCGACGAAAACTAACCTTTTCCAGGCGTTCCAGCATACCATGAAGGGCCCGCAGGGCAATGTCACGAATTTCCTTTTCAGCGTCCACTGTGAGGAAGGAAAGACACGGGAGAACCTTGCCGGCGAGTTCCTGGGCCGAGTAGAAGCTCTGAAGGGGAAAGAGGGGGAATGAGTCAGGTTGAGCTAGCCGATCTCGTTTAGCGGCATACCGATTTCACAGTGAAGGCAACGGAACATCAGACAGCAAAAAATACTCAAGACTTGATAGGCTCTGCCTGCCAGTTATGACTCAACCCAGGGCAATAGATTGACTTGAATCCGGAGCGATAACTCAAAAACCGAGTGACCTGACCGTTAATCTCAGGCGATGAAGGGCATAACCAGTCCGTACACACAGTGTCTGCATAAGAAGGAGAGAGAAGGAGCAAAAGAATTCACGCTGAAAGAACCATGCCAAAAATTTCAGACAAAAACGTCCTCCAGTTATTGTTGCCATAATACAAATTAAGAGAGGTAACGA